AAAACTACGGAGTAGTCTCCAGCTTCTCTCTTCTTCTTGTAACCTCGGCATCCTTGTTCTTATTTGTGTTAGTTGTTTGTGCCGTACGAGGTTTATAGGTGGAACATTTATTAGTTCGGCCTAATGTTTCGACAAAATCATCGTCTTCAAGGCCATAAAAGGCCTTGAACCGCATTTAGCCTCAGAAAAAGACGATTTTTTCGAAACGTTAGCCCGAACTAATAAATGTTCCACCTATAAACCTCGTACTGCACAAACAACTAACACAAATAAGAACTGTGGGGGCTAGTTGCCGCGCCAAAATAACGCCACCTGGCGCAGTCTTCAAGATGATATTTTCGTGTAGCATATCGAAAGTTTTAAGGTGAATCTAAGTTTTGAGAAGAAAATCAAAAAACTGGGGCGGCTACGGATAACTCAGTGGTCCGTTACGGAGATCGGCAGGAAAATTTGCAAACGCCTTAAATTTCTTCCTTGAATCGTACTTCTTCGCAAAGTTTTCCTCGATGATCTGTTTGCTTTGTGATCAGATTGGCGCCAATCATCATCCTCGCCTTCTCCATCGCTTCATCTGGCCTGAATTCGAAGAGATTATGCAAATTGTGATTGTAAGTGAAAACAAAATGATTTTTACGTGAAAACAATTTGAACTCCGCCCTGAAGACCTGAATCGAATCGTCCTTTGCCTCGTCCACCGGCCAAAACCTGTGCTTTGATCACATAATCCTTGCCACCTGAAGAGCGCCTATAGTAAAAATGCACAAGAAGAAGAAGGTAACACAAAAATGTACCTATTCGTTCCGCATGATCTCTAGCTTGCTCTGCTGTCTTTGCGACACCAAATGGAGGAACCTTTAAATATGTAGCGTAAGTTCATAGAACCAGTTAAGCTCCGCACGCTACCGCGCGCATGAAACGGAAGGCTTAGGTGAAACAGGACAGCCGATAAAGCGTTAGGTTCACCGCTAAACATGAGTTGCTTCGTAAAATGCGTTAGCTGACCGTTCCATAGGCTGCCCATCTTTGCAGAAGCTCACCGTTTGATACGCGCAGTGGAGTGCGGAGCTAAAGTGGTGTCTGTAAACAACCACCATGCATCGAATGTCAGTGTAATTTAGCGGTCGGATTGTGTGTGATGTTAAAATAGAAAACCCAGCACTCGTTATCGTATTTCTCCGAACATCCACCATACATTTAGGAATTCTGGGGAGCGTAGCGGTCTAATGGTATTTTGGGCTGATGATAACAACGCAAATGAAAGGATATTGAAATGAAATGCTTCATCTTAAGTCTGGTTTTGAGTTACCTCTATATTCTTGCAGCATCGTTATTATTGGCTTGATCAGCCATTACCACTTGGGTCGCTCGCAAAGAGTTCGTTCCCTCCTACCAGCAGGGTGAATAACGGTCGAGGAAATCCTCGACCATAGCTCTCTACCATGCGAGAGTAGTGCCGAGAGTGAACATCCGCGCGGAGAGCACAGACGGCACGGCATGGCGAGTGTGAATGTCCGCGCGAGAGATCGTCTCTGATCGGGCAGAGAATCCTCGACGTGCCGTTGAGGAATCCTCAAGCGATATTCACCCTGCCCTCTACACCACTTTTCAAAATCAACGCCTCGCTGGAACGCTGGCTGTGGTCGTGAAATTAGCGTTTTAGCGTTTCTTATCGAATCTTATCAGCCGTTATCACTTTCTTTCCCCGACCACATGTTCCCGTCTACCCTCTACATCACTTCTTGGAACCAACGCCTCACTGATACTGGGACGCGGGTTAAGCAACTTCACATTGATTATTTCGATCAAAACACACACGTTGTCATCCCTAAGGTTCCGTATCTACTTCTACTACTATTTAAATCTTCACATTCATAAAAAGAAAAAGTAAACGAAAAATTTATTAAACTGAAGATTTCGTATGGTTCAGAAATCCTCCTCTAAATTAAAGCATACGTGACCATTCTATGGGCCACTATGTTTGTAGCTAGGTCAAGGTCTTTACTTGCGCAGATGTCCGAATGTGTCATACGATATCCAAATTTATCTGCAAAGCTTCCTGGGAGTGGGAAAAGACTATCACAACCAAAACCTCGTAGGAGAGAAAGCCCTTTCTAATCTATCGAAATTGAGCCTGTAGCATCGCACATGTGCACAGAATACTGGGCCGCCACACCAACTCGTCATAAAAACATGACTGATAGCATGGAGTTCAATACTTCACACTGACTATGCACAGAGTTCACTTGTGAAATCGATGTTCCTAACTCATTTGAAAAATGCAGCATAAGCAGTGAAATTTTTGGGGAATGAAGTGTCCTGCACTAACAAGGAATAGCCGAGAAAAATTCGTGCAAAAAGGGGCGGAAGGATAAGTAAAATAATAAATATTTCGAAATAGGCATAGCGAAAATCTAAAGATGACGGATCCAGTAGAAGCTTTTCTTCACAACAACTCAAGTAAGGATTCATGCTGAAGCGCTCCTACTTTGCATATCACAATCAAGATTGAAAAAAAAATTAAAGGCATTCGTAAATTTCAACCAAAACCCGAACAATTGGATTGGCGCACTAAATCATTACAAACCCTGCTCAGATCCTGAACTTTCCTAATGTTCCCCCTGCCTAGCCAACACTACTAATCTATTCTGTTATATGACGCAACCATGGATAATGTTTAGCATATGGCAACTAAGCAGTCACTATTGAAGGCCACTTTGCTGCATGCGTTCAATAGTCACTGAACCCAGGTTGTAGCACCCGTACTAGTACCCGTCCAGAACGTTAAAATGATGACGTCTCAATAAAAGACAACATAAAAAGTAGACTAGAGCCAATTCTGCAACACCGCTGTAACCTTTTACCTCCTCATTTTAAAATGGATCTGAAATATCGTTCTCCTTTTCCACTCAATTCCCTTTCAGTGCCTACCTACCTCTGCCTGATCATAATCAGCTTCTACACGTGAGAAATTTGTGTTTCTTACATTGTCAACGATTTATGGATTCCCCCTCCTCCCACCACTTAGCTGTATCGAGATGACTTCACACACTGAGTGGAGCCCGTGTGGGATGGACGCTATTATGCGAGCGTGCAGCCTCACATCTGTGGAAGTTGAGCGATGAGATCACAAAATGAATAGCAAGAAATCATTTTGCTAATGATCACTGCGTTGAAGTTACCAAGGAATAGGCAACAATATCAAAATGTTAAACTAAAAGGCGTGCAGTTACAATCAAAAGGCAGAAATTATTGATTCTTGCTGCAGTGGACTCCAAAAACACCTATGCCTTGATTGCTTCACAGGAAATACAAGTATTGTCATCTACAGAGCTTTTCATTATATGAGTTATGCGATTCAAAATTCGCTTGAATGAATTAAACGGGGCCGCGCTCGCAAAACACGCCGACCCCACGCGGCTAAAAAAGCCAAAACGCTCGCTATCGTCAACGTGTTAAACAGCGATGCGAAGAAGCATTCGTAACCAGGTTGAATCTAATAATTTCTTCTCTACATAGGACTAAGCTTATGAGAGTAGCGCCGTAGGAATGAAACTTGCTGACGCACCACGAGAGCTCCCTTCCTCCTCCCCATTCTGGCTTGAAGGTGCTGGTCTAGGACAGAACGAAACTTCACCACTTTTGGGCGAGGATTTTTTTTGCTGCAAGAACCCCACTCCGTGGCGGTATTCAATCCTTCCCCCAGGGGGATATATCCCCCTACTCTGATTCAATCCTCTGGGGGGACAAAAAAG